CCCTCTGCCAGGCTCTGTGCTGTGAGATCCTCTTCCAGTCTCCAAGAAGACCTTGACCTCAGCATCAGCATCCTTCTGGCCCTAGGGTGGTCAACTGGCATGGTGCCCACACAAGTGAAGGAACAGTCGCTTCTGGATCACTCTGATCACTTTCTGTGGACAGGTTTCTTGACCTACAATTGACAGAACATGATGTATGTCCTTTTGTGTCCATGTCAGTGACTTTAATATATGTATAGGTTGTGTAGCCATCAGCACAGTGTAGCTGTGGAACATTCCCCAAACACTTAAAGAACCTCCTGCCTATTGGCACTCAGTTCTCAGTCCCGCCTCCAGGCCCTTGAGACACGTGTCTGCTCACTTTCACAAATGTCCCATGTGTGTTGATGGTGTCATGCTATATGAGGCCTTTGCCTCTCTCTACCTTCCCAGAGCCACATGTCTTCAGGGCTCCGGAGTTGGATAGGGAGTGTTAGAACAGTATGCCCTTCTGTGGGGTGGAGAGTTGTCTATATTGAGGAGAGACCATATGTTTATTCGTACATCAGTTGCTGGCCACTTGATGGCTTCTGCTTGCTGGTTATTATGAATGATGCAGTTAGGAGCATCTAGACTCATTTTTGAAAAAGAATATCTGTATGGTTATTCATAATTGACACATATAATTGTACATGTTTATGGGGTACAGTGTGGTATTTCAATGTAAATATATGGTATATAATGATCTGATCAGGTTAATTAAGATATCTGTCACCTGAAACATACTCATCATTTGTGTTGGGAACATCCAGAATCTCCTCTACTAGCTATTGTGAGGCACATAATTAATTACCTTTCCATTGGTTACCTTACGGTGTGGCAGAACATTTGACATTGCTCTTCACAGTGAACTGTGCTCTGTACCCATCCACCATCCTCCCTCCACTCCCCCCTCCCCTTTCCAACCTCTGGTAAACTCTGTTCTATTTGCCTACTTCTGTGAGATCAACTTTTTAGGATTTCATACGTAAATGGGAACATGCAGTAGTTTTCCTCCTGCGATTGACTTGTTTAACCAATACAGTGTCCTCCCTGGAGCCAGCACTGTGATGTAGTGGGCTAACCCTCCCCATGTGGTGCTGGCATGCCAAATGGGTGCTGGTTCATGCCCCAGCTGTTCTTCTTCCAATCCAGCTCTCTGCTGCAAAAGCAGTGGAGAATGGCCCAAGTGTTTGGACTCCTGCACCCACCTGGGAGACACGAAAGAGGCTTCTGTCTCCTGGCTTTAGATCGGCTCAGCTCTGGCTTTGTACCCATTTAAGGAGTGAACCAGTGTATGGGAGACCATTGTCTGTCTTTCCCTCTGTCTGGAACTCAACTTCTCAAATAAATAAAATCCTTCTCCCTCCGAAAAAAACCATACACAAACAGAAAAACCCACAATACCTTCCAGGCTCATGGATGTTGCTGCAGATGACATGGCTATGTTCTTTTTTATGGCTGAGTATTATTCCATTATGCATATGTAACCAGGTGTTCTTTATCAATTCATCTACCAATAGAGTGTCTAGGTTGACTCCATACCTTGGCTTTCATGAACAGTGCTGCAGTAAACGTGGCGTGCAACTATGTTGTCAACATTTGGTTTCCTTTCCTTTGGATGTATACGCACAGACAGATTGCTGGATCATATGGCAGTTCTATTTCTAGTGTTTTGGGGAAACACCATACTGTTTGCCACAAGGGCTGCATTGATGGACATTCCTGTCCAGAGTGTGTGAGAATTCCCCTTTCTCCATGTCCTTGAATTTGTTCATTGTCTTTTTTTCCGGTCAGACCTGGGAGAGAGAATCTTTCATTGAGGTTTTGAGTTCCAATTCCCTGATGATTAATATGATTGAGCATTATTTCATGTAGTTTTTGGCCATTTGTATATCTTCTTCTGACATGTATCTACTGAGATAATTAGCTCATTTTTAATTGCATTTTTGTGGGGGGACCTTTGGGTTGAGTTCCTTAATCTCATCAGGGGAACAACTTGCAAATACTTTCTCTTATTCTTTGAAGAATGTCATTGGTATTGTGAGAGGAATTGCATTGTGTCTGTAGCAGTTGGACATTTAAACATTCTAGTTCTTCAAATGCATGACCATGGGATGACTTTGCACTTTTTAGTCATCTCTTCAATTTCTATCAACTCCTTGTTCTACCACTGGGTTGCCTTCTTGATCTCTTTTCATCTGATTTGTTCCTAGGGTATTGAAATGCTGTTGGTTTTTGTAAGCTGATCCTGTATCCTGCATTTTTATTGAATTCTTTTAACTCTTTGATGAAGTTTTAAATTTTCCTATATATAAGATCATATAGATTGCAAGTAAGGACTATTTGACTTTGTTGTTTCCAAATTGATGCTGTTATTTTTTTTTTCTCTTGCTAAATTGTACTGGGTAGCACTCCCAGTTGTGTGTTGAGGAGAGTGGTAAAAGGGATCCATTGATTGGACAGGAACATGGTGTTTGATTTCCATGCATTTGGCTGATATCTACAATTCCTCTGGTTGATTACTAATATTTTATTCCATTATGGCCTGCGAAAAGGTGATTTTGATTTTTTAAAATGAGTTGAGGCTTGTTTTGTGGGCGAATGTAGGGTCTCTTCTGGAGAATGTTCCACGTGCTGAGGGGAAGAATGCATATTCTGCAGCGTTCCACAAATGTTAAGTCCATTTGGTGTGTAGTGCTTCTTAAGTCTAGTGCTTCTTTGCTGGTTGTCTGTCTAGATGATCTGTCCATTGACAGGTGGGATGTGGAAGTCCCCAGCTCCTATTGTTGTGGGGTCTCTACCTCCCTTTAGAACCAATATTGTTTGTATTCCATGCTTAGGTGGTGTTGTTTTCAGGTGCATGTATGTATTTCCAGTTGTTAGATGCTCTTTCTGACAGATTCTTTTATCCTGATGTAATGTGTGTCTGAAATGAGTTTCTTCCAGGCAGTATATTGAGTGTTGGTCTTTATCCACTCAGCCGGTCTTTATCCTTTAAGTGGGGAATTTAACCAATTTACATTCAAAGTTGTTATTAACAGATAACAACCTATGTCTACCTTGACACTTTTTTTAGGGACAAGTATTTTCATTTATCTTGAGTATGAGCTAGGTGCTGAGTCCAACAGCAACTCTTCATATCTCCATTTGGACAACTGCTTGATTTGTACAGTGGCTGCACCATTTCACATTCTCAGCATCAATGGGTGAGGTCTGTTTGTCCATATCCTTTACAACTCTGGTTCCTCCCCATTGTTTAAACTCCTGCCACTCAAGTGGGGGAGAGTTGGTGTCACATTGTGGCTTTCATTTGCTTTTGTCTGGGGCCCGAAGATGTTGGGCAACTTTTACTGTGCTTATCTTAGAAGAAATGCATATTCAAATATTTGACGCATGGTGGTTTGGGTTGTTCATTTTCGTATTGTTCAATTGTAAGTGTTCCTTATATTTTGTGGACAGAGGATCTTATCAGATACATGCTTTTAAAATATTTTGTCTGAATCAGTGTGATCTTTTTTTTACTTTGATAATGTGTTTCTTGAATCAGAAGTGTTTGCGATTTGGAGAAATTAGTGTTTATCTTTTTATTATGTATCATAGTTGTGATAATGTATCAAAAATCTGCGGGTCACTCAAAATTGTCAAGATTTTGTAAGTTTTCTTCTAAGTGATTTATATTTTTGACTTTTAACATTTATGCTTAGATGCTTTATTTTGAGTTATGTTTTGGAGTGGATGAGGTGAACATGTAAATGAGAGGCCTGGAAGCTCATTTTCTGCTGGGCCATTAGGTATTTAGAGCATCATTTGCTGTGTTTGTAAGTCTGCCCAGGATGCTCCCTTCTCTGGGCCTTCTCATGTCTCCTGCGCAGATGCGCAAGTCTTCACACCTGATCAGGGGTGAGTAGACAGAAAGGAACTTCTCTTTGTTTACTGATGTAGCCCAGGCCCCCATGTGCACAACAACCTCTAGATCACCACGGAAATACAGAAGACTTTCCAGGTCCAGATGTCGGTCTTCCTGGTTCTGCTATGTGAACTTGAGGCTGGCGCACTGGGGAGAGGGAAATCCTGGGTGACAGAGCTCTTGCTGGTGCACACATGTCTGTTAGACCCATTTCAGTCCACCTGTAGGCAGGGCAGCTGGTCCCCAGAGGTCAACAGTGTCCCTCAGTTCATCGGTATCACTGCGTTCTACCTGTGGGCTCTCAGGGACTGCGAGGTTCTTCATCTGTAAGCCAGAACCACACGGCAGTGGAAGATTATGAAAGCCTGGGGTGCACTTCCCTATGGAAACACAGCCTGTTCCAGTGGAACATGGTCACTCTCCTTGGGACATCCTCTGTGTCTCCATCTTCTCAGCCAAGACCACCCATGTCTCCTGCACACCAGGCAGTCTGGGTTACATGGGGTCCTGGACAAGGCCCCACAGTCTCCTGTGCAGTAGGCAAATCCTTGCTCTACTTTAGTTACCAGTGACCCATTGTTGAGCACAGGGCCAGAGCCTGTGACTGCTTCTGTGTGTTTATGATGCTGGACCTGATCTTGTGCCCTCAGTTAAGAATCTCTCACCCACTCCCTGTGCACACTTCAAACTGAAGCTGTGAGCTCCCATTGTGTGCAGGGAGGTGCAGAACATCGCATTCCCTGATGTGGTGATGGCTGTGGCAGGGCTGCCTTCCCATTGCACAGATGAGGACACTGAGGCTGCGGGGACAGCACCCCCGGCAGGTCCGTTCTGTGACCTCAGAGTCTGCATCCCTGAGCATGAGGAGGCACTGCCCCAGCCATGCAGCGTCGCCCTGTTATTTGCTTACCTTGGCCTTCCCAGCGTGTGGTGCTGTTTGTCCAAACGGGGAACGTTGGCTCTGCCCCTGGGGAGGTGCCCGTGTCCTCTGCAGAGGATGCAGGTCCCGGGCATTGGAGCCATGGTGCAGGGAGAGTGGGGTGGGGAGGGCACGGCCTGGGGAGCTGGCACGGTGCAAATTGTACATTCCACAGTGGGTAATAACTTACATTTTATTGAGGTTCAGGGACAATAAGGTGGAGAAAAGGAAGAGAGTGGGGAGGAATAAAGAGAAATACAGGACGACGGGGGCGGGGAAGGCCAGGTGTGGCACTGGGGCTGCAGCAGAAGGGACTTGCGGAGCTGGGGCTGAGGCCGGGGCCAGTGCTGCATCTGGTGCCCCTGCAGCGTCCTCAGCTTCAGCTGCTGCGTACAGTCCTGGCTCCAGACCCTCCATCCCCAGAGCCTCTTCTCTCAGGGCCTCCCCTGAGCCCTGCTCGGCCCCCGGGGACACAGCTGTCCCCCGCGCATCCTTGTGGTGGCGCTGATTGATGGAGGACCAGCACTGCTCCAGCGGGGGTGTTGTTGTGAGATCAGGGCTCTGTGCCGCCCCAGCCGTGAGGTCAGGTGCCAGGCCCGGCCCTGACCCTGGGTCACGACTGACACAGGCGAAGTCAACGGGCCCTACTTCCTCCGCTGTGAGATGGGCATTTGCGGAGCCCCTGGGCTCTATCTGGGCTCTGACCAACAGTGTGTGACTGAGGGGGACGTCCAGTGGTTTCTGTGTGCCGGGGAATGCCCGGTACGGGGGCTTCAGAGCTGTGGGCTCATTTGACCACTCCCCCACCACACACAGGTCATCAGTGAAAGGGGCCTGACACACGTCCTGCCTGCTGGCGATCCGCAGCCTTCTGTGCATTGCCAGGCGCGAGGCTGACCTGTCCTGGCCCTGGGAGACAAGAGCAGAGAATGGCAGGTAAGAGGCAGTCCCTGGATCCCTCCGCAGCCAGGAGCTCTGGGCCTCAGGCTGCCTCCACCTAGGACTTCCAGCCTCCCTCCTCTGAGGGGGAAGTGGCCCCTTGCCCCCCACACCCACACCCACACCCAGCCCCAGGGGCCTATGGGCTTCGGGTGGGTTCCCAGTGGTGTCCTGGCCCGCAGAGACCTGTCCTGCTTCCAGACTCACCATGGCCGTTTTCTGTTGGAAGCACCAGGAGCGTCGGGGGTGAGGGCTGGCCCAGCGTCCCCACCACTGGGCGAGGCATCCACAGCAGGGTTTCTTGGGGGCTGGGCTTGGGCATCGCGGGATACAACTCAGGAACATCTTCCTGCGAGACTCTATCCAGGTGAGCTGGTTCAGACTCAACTCTGGAATGTTGGGGTTGTTGCCGGGCCCCCCAGGTCTCCAGGTGAGGTCACTTCCTGTGGCTCCTCAACTGAGCCCCCTCCTCTCACACAAGATGGCTGCCGAGTCCCAGCGGGCGCTGCCTGCTGCACTTCTAAGCCATGCCCTGTGCACACTGTCCCCCGTCGCACCAACAGGGGGAAGCCTCCGCCTGCCACAGCAGGTGTGGGTCCAGCCTTTGTCACAGCTGGGCTAGACCTGTTCCCCCCTGCTTGAGGGCTTCTCACCCTGCATGGTCATTGTCCCTGTCAAGACGCCCCAGCCTCCCGTGTGGTCCCTGGGGATCGTGTGCCAGTGAAGCTGGTGCCCTCAGCTGCCCAGCTGTGGACCCTGAGGAGCAAGAGCTCCCATCACACCCTGAGACCGACCGGGAGCCGCTCCCTGTGCATTGGGAGCCCTGTCCCAGCCCCTGAAGTGTGGCTCCTCCCAGCCACAGGCACCTGGAGGGTGGTTCCTCTCTCTCAAAGCCCAAAACGAGGCTGCGACCACCCAGACTCAGTTGCCCCGTGTGCACCTGGGGCTGTCTGCTCTAGGGAGCTGATGGTCAGTGGAGAACCGAGTGCTCCTAGCTCTGGCCTGCACCCCGGAGGAGTCGTGGGGTGGTCCTTTGGGTCCTGCAGGATCTGGGGCTTTAGCAGTGCACAGTGGTTCTTGAAGCTCATTCAGACTCCCAGGGGAGTTGGTTGGGCTCAGGGCCAGCTCTCTGAGGACCAGGGTGATGACTACCGTGGCCCTGCACTTGCTGATTGTTCCCCAGGGCTGGTAGGGATCGTGCCAGGCATCTCTGGGGTCTGGGCCTGCCATGAGCCTGAGGGAGGTCAGTGTGAGGAGCCAGACGGGATAGGTTTCATGTGTGAGAGAGTGTTTCCATCCAGCATCCTGAGGAGACCCTAGACACCAGGGCTGTTGCGTGTTGGGTTTGGACAGGGGCGTGGGGAGAGATCAGGAGTGGTGTTGGGCGTGGTTCAGTGATGAATGTCTGGGGAGTAGATGGCCGTGGTGGGGACACATAGTGTGCGTGTCCTTCCTGTTAGCTAATGGCTAGTTCCCTGTTGTGGGAATGTCCTTCCCTGAAAGATGAGGGACAGGCTCATGTGCCGGGGTTGGTGCTGACGGTGGCAGCACTGGCGATGTCGAGCAGTTTAGATGGCAGTGGCCCGTGGCCCTTCCCTGTGGGGAGCTCTCCTGTCCCCCAACCAGAGCCTGAAAAGATGCTATTTGGGTGTACTCTCGATAGTAAAGACCTCCTGTGAAAAGTTTCTGGGAGGAGTTAAGCTGCTGCTGTGCTTTGAATACTCTTTTCCTTCTTTCTCTGAGAAGTAGAGTGAGACACAGAGAGGGAGAGACAGAGAGGTCTTCCATGTGCTGGTTCAATCCGCTACTGGCCACAGTGTCCTCAAATGGGCTAATTGGAGGCCAGGAGCTAAGAGCATCTACAGGTCTCCGGCGGCATGGGTGCAGGGGTCCAAGGACTTGGGCCATCTTCATTGTTTCGCAGGCCATCACCAGGGAGCTGGATGGAAGTGGAGCAGCCAGCACACAAGCCAGTGCTCATATGGGATGCTGGCGCCGCAGGTGGAGGCTTAACCTACTACTCTACACTGCCGATCCAGGAGTGCAGCCACTTTCATCTAAGCTTGGGCTCAGGGTTTTTTGTTGTTGTTGTTAAGATTGATTTATTTACTTCACTGGCAGAGTGACAGGAGAGAAAGAGGCAAGAGAGACAGAGAGAGAGAGGGAGAGAGAGAGGGAGAAAGAGAGACAGAGAGGTCTTGAAACCAGTGGTTCACTCCCCAAAGGGCCACAACAGCCGGTGCTGAGCTGATCCAAAGCCAGGAGCCAGGAGCTTCTTCTGGGTCTACCACGTGGATAAGGGGGCCAAGTCCATGGCCCATGTTCCACTGCCTTCTCGTGTCTTAGCAGAGAGCTGCATTGGGAGTGGAGCAGCTGGGACTCCAACCGGTGCCCATATGGTATCTCGATGTCATAGGCAGATGTTCAACCTACTATGCCACAGCGCCGCCCCAGGATGTCGTCTTGTCCCTTCCCTTCCCTTCCCTTCCCTTCCCTTCCCTTCCCTTCCCTTCCCTTCCCTTCCCTTCCCTTCCCTTCCCTTCCCTTCCCTTCCCCTCCCTTCCCCTCCCCTCCGCTCTCCTCCCCTCCCCTCCCTCCCTCCCCTCCCCTCTCTTTTCTCTTCTCTTCTCTTCTCTTCTCTTCTCTTCTCTTCTCTTCTCTTCTCTTCTCTTCTCTTCTCTTCTCTTCTCTTCTCTTCTCTTCTCTTCTCTTCTCTTTTCTTCTTTTCAGTTGTGGACTTGAAAGGCAGAGTTGGAGGAAGGGACAGGGAGAGAGATCCAGAAGGATGACTCTGATGAGCTGATTTAATCTCCCACAAGCCCATGCTGGCTGAGGCTGAGTCAGGCTGAAGCCAGGAGCCTGGAACACCTTCTGGGCCTGGCACACAGGTGGCAGGGACGGGAGCACTTGGGTCAACTTGTGCTGCTCTGCCAGGTGTGTGAGCAGGGAGCTGGAATGAAAGCAGGGCTCCAGGAGCAGAACCGGGGTTCTGATGTGGGATGCCAGCCCTGCAGGTGGGGCTTTAGCCTGTGGGCCACAGCGCCAGCCCCATGGGCCTAGGTGGCAGAAAACCTTCCAGGGGTTCCTGTGAAAGGATGTTCTGCCTCTCAGGACCCCTGAATCAGAGAAGGGGGAATCCACGTTGTAACAGGTGCCCGAGTCTACCTTCCCGACCTCCATCAGAGCTCAGGATCCCTGTTGGAGGTGGCTTTTTCATGCTGTAGGTGGAATTGAGCTGTCCTGAGGGCACGTGCAGGTAGGGAGGTGACACTCAGAAGGAGAGGATGTGCAGGACTCGGGCGATGGGGAAAAGCAGGCAGAAACAAGGAATGATGGGAACGAGCCAGGCTGGTACTGGAGAAGCCTGTCCTGTGTCATGGTTGGCATGTGACACTGGGAAGGTCTTGCGGGCATTTAGAAGTGCGGGGCGGGTGAATACAGCAGAACATGAACCCTGAGAGTGCAGATGACCCGGAGGGGAGGGGCCTGAGCGGGTCTCCTAGTCGGCATGTGGGGCAGTAGCTGGGCACAGGGCAAGAATGCTCAGGATGAGAGATGACTCTGAACTTTCGGAAAGCACTTTTGCATGCTGACCCAGGAGCACATGAATGTATTTGGAGTATATTTGTGATTAGTTTTGTGCCATAAGAAAAGAATACTTATAAAATTTTGGCTGTAGTGAGTAAAGTTAGTAACATATCAGTAGAAAACACATCTTATATCCTGAATGTCAGAAGATATTTTAAACTGGATGCATGAGTAGTTAACTAACCAGTCTTGTTAGATGATGGTCTCCTTGGCATAAAGCAAGGATGCTAATGTATAGCACACTTTATTTTTTATTTTTATTTTTATTTTTGACAGGCAGAGTGGACAGTAAGAGAGAGAGACAGAGGGAAATGTCTTCCTTTTCCATTGGTTCACCCCCCACTGGCTGCTGTGGCCGGTGCACCGCGCTGATCGGAAACCAGGAGCCAGGTGCTTCCTCCTGGTCTCCCATGTGGGTGCAGGGCCCAAGGACTTGGGCCATCCTCCACTGCACTCCTGGGCCATAGCAGAGAGCTGGACTGGAAGAGGAGCAACCGGGACAGAATCTGGCACCCTGACTGGGACTAGAACCCGGGGTGCTGGTGCCAGTTTAAAAACAAACCTATAAGTAATTGTTTAATGCTAACTTAATACAAGATCTGGAGAGCTAGAGACCAACCATATTTGGTGAGTGAATTCTTATATTAAGACTATCTTAGTCATTTCAGAACTAGCCAAGGCATTCTTATGTTGTCATATTTCCCACTTACATATTCTTTGCATTTCATTTTTGAGGTTTCTGCATAAACTTTAATAAAATGGTAACGATAGTAGAGAATTTGCCGATACTGAATAGAACATCTTCTCTTCTGGACAGGCTGGCTTCCCTAATCTGGGATTCAGGAAGCAATCCAAGTCAGTTGGAGATGAGGAAGTGCTAGAGTAGGTATTTGGTTAATGAATGGAAAGGATTCTTCATTCCAATTTTGAGAGAGAAAAATCTTCACCCAGGAAGTTGAAGAATTCTTGAAAGAGGTATTTTGATGTTGGAGAATAACTTGTTTATCATTCTGCAGAAATGCAGATGTAAGCAATTGAGCTGAGAGTATTTGTTTTTGAAGGAAGGAAATGAGATTTGTTTCATTTGGTTCACATCAATAAGACAAACTAATGCTGCAAGAATATATTTTTAAAATGAGGTTCCTTCATTGGTCTTGTGTTAAGGTTTTTAATTTGGTTTTTCCAATTTGGAAGCCCTCCTTGATGTCAGATGACACTGACCACCACACACACAACTCTTGGTTTCTGTTGTCCAACAGGAGCAGAGAGCTGTGTGAAATCCCCTCGCATTTTTTTTTTTTTTGCCTTGTTTGACTTCTCATCAATGACATGTATTCTGCAACATGTCACATTGAGGTTAGAGAATCGGTATAGCTTTATATTCCATCTGTCCTATGGCAAGAGTTTATAAATCCTGTGCTCTAAAATATCCTCATCTATGGAAACTTTCTTCTATCTAAGTATATTTTTATATTATCCTTTTCACGTTAATTTGCTATTTATTATTTTTTTCCCTTGAATCAGGAGTAACTTCAGATTTCTTTTTTTTTTTTTTTCTGGAAGGAATGTTTTTTTTAACTTTTAATTAGTAAATATAACTTTCCAAAGTACAATTTATGGATTACAATGCCCCCCTCCCATAACTTCCCTCCCATCCACACCCCTCCCATCTCCCGCTCCCTCTCCCATTCCATTCACATCAAGATTCATTTTCAATTATCTTTATATACAGAAAATCAATTTAGTATATATTAAGTAAAGA